CAATGGTGATCGCCAACGTCGAATAATTCTGATATGGCACGCGAAGAAGACGAAAAGAAATAATAAATAAGACTTACTCACAATCAGTTTAATTTAACTCTCTAGACGACTGGTTTCACTTTCTACAATTTGCAAAGCATCTTCAGGTCTGTCGATACAAAGTTAATTAAATGTTGAAATATAAGGGTTTTATTTTTTCAGCATTTAATTAACTTTGTATCGACAGACCTGAAGATGCTTTGCAAATTGTAGAAAGCGAAATCGGTCGACTAGAGAGTTAAATTAAACTAATTGTGAGTAATTCTTATTTGTTATTTCTTCTACCTATTTGATTTTTATTTACTTTGTAGGTGTTTCATGTCAGCACAGTAAAATAAGAGTAACTTTCGATTTTTTGTTTCCTTGCTTGTTTGCCTGTCTTTTAGTTGTCTCCCAACAAAACTATGTTTAAAATTGTGTTATTAGCGATAACGTTTTTTTCTTGTTTGAACCTGTTTAGATGTTTTGTGCGAACAACAAAACTTTTACACATTCGTTTTGTTATTAATGAGAAATTAAGACTTAGTATCAATTTAAGTTTATTGTGGTACTGTATCTGATTATTAGTTCAGCTGTAAGTTTTTGTATTGTCTCCTGTTTAACAGACCTGACACCAGAATAAGTAGCACCAGCTGTTGCTTTACAGGATAATTGGCGGAGCATTCGTTACATCGCAAATGCTTTAGAAATTTCTCGTAGTATAGTGTTTTATGCAATACAAAGATTTTGAGAAACAGGACAATACACCTGGAGCCCAGGTTAAGGTAGACAAATAACCACAAGCCAAGTTGAAAATCGCTTTCTTAGGTTACAAGCGTTACGCAATCGTACATTATCAACACTACTACTTGTTTAACGATTAAATGATGTACATAGAAATATAGTTTCCGTTTATACCGTTCGGAGACGCTTAAATAAATAGGGATTAAAGTCCAGAATACCTGTCACGGGACCTCTATTAACTGCAGATCATCGTAGGCAATGTTTACACTTAATCACTTACACATTTTAATTGAGCTGTTGACGAATGAAGTGCTGTGCTTTCATGGATGAATCAGATTTAACAGATTTAATCAGCAATCTTTGCAGATTGCTGACCTAGGATATGGAGAAGAGCTGGTAAACGTTATCAGCGATGTTGTTTTTCTCTTAGAGATAAATTTAGTGAAGGTGTTATATTGGTGTGGACAGGCATTTTTCTAGAGGCTCATACAAAACTTATTACAATTTAAGGAGGCAATTTGTACTCTCAGCGGTATATTCAGCAATGTTTGAAAGTTTATATATTGCCACTTGCCCCATTTGTTGGAGATAACTTTTGACTGATGCAAGATAATACTCACGGTATCAACCGCAAATCGCAAGAACAACACGGGATTACTTGTATGACGTTGGGATTCGTGTATTACCATGGCCTCCAAGGAGTGCAGAGTTAAATTCAAAAGGGCATGCAATAGAGATATTCTGTGACGACGTATTCGACGTAGCCATGGTGAGTTTGAAATGGGAGCAAATCCCTCAAGCTGACCTTGCTGCCTTAATCCGAAATATGTCTAATAGAATGAAAGCCATAATTAGGGTGTTTGAAGGTAATACACTCTACTAAATATCGTTTTCCATAAAAAATGTTTATATAAAAAAAAATTTTGTTTCTTTGCAGATTATCAAATTTTTTAAATTGTTTATTGTTTTTTCTGTGTAACATTCTTAAGTTATAATAAATTTAATTTTTAAATTTTGTTTATTATTAAATACTTAATTTGGGAATATCTTGAACTTTTTTAAACACCAGTTTTTAATAAAAATCTGAGTGTCTGATTAATTTTGCACCCGAGTAAATTTTAAATCTTGCTTTTAATTTTTTTTTTAATTTTTGTTAGTAGAATATTACCCTTTGATTTCGATTTTTTAACGATTCAAAACTAAAAATCTAATAAAAACATGTAGATAAACATTTTTTTAGGCTAGCTGCAGGATGGCTTACACCATGGTACTCCTATTCTAACAGCATGTGGAGCTTAGTAGGAGCTAGTTTTCTAACTTGCGCTTTTGTGCACTTTCTCATGACTTTGTTAAAAACAAAAATGTTAATTAACAGGTAATTAAGAATATGCTCATCTAATTATTATTTTAAGTTTATTATTAAGCTTATTACTACGAAGGTAGTAATACGAAGCTAGTGATCAAAAATAATAAAAAATATTTTTGAAGCTTTTATAATTTTAATAATTTAATAATAATGTAATAATAATTTTATAATAATTACTTGTTGTCTATTTTAAAATTCTGAAGCGAGCTTCACGGAAATAACGCCACAAGGTGGCCTAACGTAAGTAAGTAGCATCACGAAATATTGGTTTTCACATCGATTCACTAGTGTCGATCAATTTGTTTCTGGTCATCATGTATTTATAATATTATTATACAGGATAATATTATAATACAGAAATAATATGAACGTTAGTTGGCTGGAGTAATTTAAATAATATTAAAATTAACTAGAAAGGTTTTAATAAAAAATAAAGGAGAAGTTCGAAGAACATCGAAATCTACTAACTTAAAAAGATTTGATTGTGGTCAGTTAAAATATGTAGTGCATCTTCTCTTCACAAACTTAACACCTTAAGCGCCATTTGTATCCTATTAGATACAAACGACTTTGATCATTTTTGGCCACCTGTATCCAAACAGATACAAAGGAATACTTTCACTTTAGGCTAGCTGAATTCAAAAGAATGCAGGGTTTGTATTTAATTAAATGGGGAACTTATAAAGCATAGCCGGCTGGTCCAAAATTTGTTTTTGGCCAACGATTTTTTTTACAAGTTGATAATTATATAACACATTTTGTTAAAAATAAAATGCAATTAATTTAAATCAAAAAATAACACCTTTATTTTTAGTAGCTATTTATAAAAACTCTTAATAAATGATATTACATTAATATTTCGGATTTATGAGAAATAAAAAAACATGTAAGACAATAAAATTCTTTACAAGCACTACATTTGTGGCGAGTTTACGAAGATTTCGCTTGTGCATATTTCCAATCGTGGCTGTTTATTAGCCTTTCGTAGCAAGCCATACATCTTCTTTTCTTATTATCATCCACTAAAATATGATTTTCGTTGATGTTATTAGACGGAAAAAGTCTTGTTAAATTTTCGTCCAAAAGCTGAGCTTGTTCTTTGAATTTGGTGATGGACATTTTTTTCTTCGTTACGATCTGATGTACAAAATACGCATTTATTAGCATAGTTGCAATTGCAATGCAATTTGATCCCCTTTCGTAAACTAGTAGTACATCTATTGTACTCTAAAATTATTATCGGTTTTTCTATTTCCTCGCCATATCTTCTTACAGGAGTCATTGCATTGCTGTGCTTTGTTGAAATCACCAAGACATATTTTTTGTTCTTCCATGTTATCACAGTACAACCCGTGTTGCTTTGTAAAGTCGTAGACTGATACTTCTCTAACTTTGCTTTCACAATTTGAGGAGGATTATTTTTTCTGTTTTAAGATAAGGTCCGGATTTTATAGTTTATAATGCTGAATCCAAATCGATGCAAGTGGCCAACAGCGTCAATTTATGAAAATGGGCCACTTGTATCCATTTCGATACAACAATGTTTTCATGAGAAAATAACATTATACTATATAAATTATAAAAGACACAGTTAAGTAGGGCATTTTTAATACATATTTATGAATTTTACACAGCGGCCCCTAGAACTGCGTTTCTTTTTAACATGGTGGCGCTTAACGTGTTAAGAAGATACTCAACCAACTGAGACTGGATGTGGGATCCTATATTTTGCTCAAGAAAATAAACAAAATTTATTATCTTTCAGTTTAATTAGAGTATATTTTTTTTTATTTATTAGTACAAAGACAATTACAATAATTGTTTAAAGTAACACAAAGTATTTCAAAACTTACTGTTACAACAAAGGACAATCTATCCCAAGTCATTCTAGCTACGGAGTCTTCTCGTCTTATGGAAAGTTCAGTTAGAACAGGTTCGGGAGGCACCGTGGTTGATTCTGGGATATCTGATGGAGCGGGTAGTTAATCGGGTCTCTCCGTCGTCAGGTTCCTATTTCTGATGAAATTGAAGCTTGGAATTGGAATTGAAACTCGGAGTGAGTACGATGGTGGTGCGAAAAAGGCTAGTACTCGAAGTAAAATATTCTTCTTTTAAAGGACTCATTGCTCTGCAGAAAAAAAACTTAATGTACGACTTCTTTAAGAATTAGATTGTTGCCTTAATTGCTTTTTGTTAAGCTATATGCCCGTTGTTCTGATTGAGCTTTTGTAAGAAACTAAATTGTATTTTTTGCGTATTAAGTATACGGTCTTTTTGGTACAATAATTCTTTGTAACATAGTATTTGTACTTTAAAGTTGCAATAATGCAGGCAATATATCGAGACGTTTCTGAAAATAGAAAAACTGTTTAAAACTAAAAAAAAATTGATTTGAGGATGCCTAGCTAAAGAATAGCTAAAGATGCCTAGGAAAAATTCAAGGACGCAGAAATCCAAACCGTAGAAGAATATCCTGGATGAGAAATTTAAGGGATTGGTTTGGCTGTACCACTAATGAATTATTCAAAACAGCAGTAAATAAAATTAGAATCGCCCTAATGATATCCAATCTCCGATGGGAGAGGCACTCAAAGAAGAAGAAGCTAAAGAATCACAATGACTGTCTTGCTTATAAAGCATAGAAGCATGGTACAAATACTGAAATTTAGAACAAAAAAATCTTTAAAAAAATAAGGTCCCCTTAACAACAGAAGACCAAACAAATAATATATTACACTTAGTCATGGAAATAAGTAATAAATATTTTTTAATAATAATAAAATTAGCAGTTCAGACCATATTTAAAAAAGATTTTAACAATTTTAGTTCGACAGATTTGACGAACAAATCGTTTGGAAATTCCATTCTAGTAATGGTAAAAATATTTCTCGTTCAGTTTGTTGACGATGCCGATTCACCTCCAGGAAGATACGGTACTTTATTCATGGGACTGCTTTTTATGTACAGCCTTTTTCTGTCCAGTACCTATAGCAGTGGATTAGCGGCAGTTATGACATTGCCGAGATATAACCATCCCATAGAAACAGTCCAAGATCTGTTGGATAGTGGTATCCCGTGGGTTGCTCCTCACGAGATTTGGATTTTTTCCATATCGCATTCAGAGGTGGTAAGTTAATTTGACGCTAGTACAATCATATAGTACAACAATATATAATTACAAGCAAATAAAAGTTGAACATACAGAAAGTTAATGATATTTGTTTTGTTTTTCAATTTTATTATTGGTTTCTATACTGATGCTTATATTATTATCTAATTACTCAATTTTTAAGAGAATTTTAAGAGAAGAAGTCATCTATGCCATCAAAAACACAAAAGAGAGTAAAGCTACTGGACCAGATGAGGTGCCCATCGAATTATTAAAACTCATAGATGAAGATGTTATTGATGTAATGGTTGAACTATTTAATCTAATATATCAGACTGCCACAATCCCCAGACAATGGCTGCAATCAACCTTTGTAGCAATTCCCAAAAAACCAAGTTCAACAACTTGCTCAGACCACAGAACAATAGCTTTAATGAGTCACACACTTAAAACATTTTTGAAAATAATTCACAGCAGAATTGTTAAAACTCTTGAATATGAGATTAGTGACACACAATTTGGCTTTAGAAATGGTATGAGTACAAGAGATGCTTTGTTCGGCTTGAATGTGCTGGCTCAGAGATGCATGGACATGAATCAGGATATGTACTTATGTTTTGTAGACTTTGAAAAGGCATTTGATAAAGTTCAACATAAAAAGCTTGTAGATATATTAAAAAGCAAAAATATTGACAGTCGTGAGAAATACAGAGAGGAGTCCGCCAGGGTTGCGTGCTGTCCCCACTACTTTTCAATGTCTACAGTGAAGCGGTATTTCAAGAAGCGCTCTCAGACTCAATAGAAGGTATATCTATCAATGGAGAAGTTTTGAATAACTTACGTTTTGCAGACGATACAGTAATAATTACGGATAACAACAATGATTTACAGAACCAAATGCAACGCCTTAATGAACGCTGTCATGAATACGGACTGAAGATAAATTTAAAAATACTAAATGCATGATCATGACTAAATCTGCACATGCAAATATCCAATTGACTATTGAAGATACTGCAATCGAGAAGGTTAATAACTATAAATATTTAGGAACATGGATAACATCAGATGTAGACCAAACCAAAGAAATTAAGACACGTATTGAAATAGCACGTACATCATTTATTAAACTTAAAAAGTTTCTTTGTTGTCGGGATATAAGGTTAGAACTACGCCTGAGAATGCTTCGATGTTACGTGTTCTCTACTCTTCTTTATGGTCTGGAAGCTTGGACACTCAAACAAGTTCATCTGAATAAGCTGGCCGCCTTTGAATTTTGGTGTTACAGAAGAATCCTACGAATATCATGGATTCAAAGAATGTCAAACATGGAAGTAACTAGAAGGATAGGAAATGAGGCGGAAATAATATTAACTATTAAAAGACGAAAACTTGAGTACTTGGGACATGTGATGAGAGGGCAAAAATACGCATTATTACAACTTATTATGCAGGGTAAAATCCGAGGAAAGCGAAATGTGGAAAGACGAAGAATATCCTGGCTTAAGAACTTAAGCGAATGGTTTGAATGCAGTACTGCAGAACTTTTTAGAGCGGCAGTCAACAGAGTCCGCATAACCATGATGATTTCCAACCTTCGATAGAAGATGGAACTTAAAGAAGAAGACTCAATTTTTGAGAATTGTATGTATATATATAAAATTAAACAATTTGTTCGTTTTTCGCTCTTTTAGGACTCTTAACTTATTTTTCGATTTATTGTTTACCTTTTCTTAGTCATTTTTAAGCTATATTTTGAAACGCATATTTCTTAGTGGTTCTTGAACTATAAAGATTCTTCTAAGACCTTGCTTTACCAGCAATTTAATCAGTTAAATAATTGTGTAATTTATCTATCTAATACCTATGTTAAACAGACTACGGAGCAAATGCTGCATAACAGTATTAACTCACCTTTTTATTAACTTCTTACCCAAAGCCTTTAAGTTTATTCTTCACTAGAATCAATTGCTCTGCCACTTGCATATTTCTTTATTTCGCTAAATCAAAATGTTTATTGTGGACAATAACAAAACTGATATCTTTTAATTAGAAACAGTTTCAAAATTATTTAAAAATAAATAAAAATAATAACTAAAAACTTTTTAATTTTTAGCCAATCTTTAAAGCAATTATAAATGCATTTCTGGCAGAACCTTCGGAAGAAAAGTTACAAGATTTTTCCAAAACACGCGATTACACTTTTGCTGTGGAAAGATTACCACAAGGTAAATAATTAAACAATGTATTACAGGAAGTTTGGTCATCATTATCTCCCTTTTATCATTATGCTAGATCGAGGCTCTAATTACATTTATTTATATTTATGAATTGCATCTTCACTCTCTTTCAAAGATACATCCGGCAAGGTTTAAATTCGGAAGGTTCCATATTGGTTCCAATAATCTATATAAATAATCTATACAAGCTACATATTTTACACAAGAAATATGCTTTAAATATGCATTTCTTTAAGAAAATATGCATTAAGTATGCATCTTTTGTTAGAAAATATGGGTACTGTCAATGGAACCACATAATTAATAATGTTGTAATAATTAATGTTTATTTTAATAATTAGAAAACGAGATAAATAAGTTTAAAAACTAAGAAGGTAATTGTAATGTAATAATTAATTATTATAATCATCATCTTTGGCTCGACACTCTTTCTGGCTTCTCATTTATGTGGATGTGAAATATGGATCATGAAGGATAATAAGATGGACATTTTAGGGCGTACGTTGAAAAATTAAGGTAAATATCGAGCACAAATTTAATAATCAAATCTTGCCCAAGTACTTTCGCTTTCTACAGCATCGTCAGGGGCATCTGAAATAAGCTAAGAAAAGTTTTTTTAAATGAAGAAAATTAATAAACTTCGATAAAAAACTCGAAGTTAATGGATGATAAAAGTTTTTTGTGATTAACATTTTAGACTTACTTCGTCAAATTTGGGCTATCCAGCAAGCGCAGATGCCCCTGATGATGCTGTAGAAAGCGAAAGTACTTAGGCAAGATTTGATTATTAAATTTGTGTTCAAAATTTGCTCTCATTTTTTAAAGTTCATTTATTCGAGCATTTAACCTTACATCAATAATTTAGGATGTGACTCAGGTATATGATAAAGTATCGCAAAGACGCCATAACTATAAATTAAGACTACATTAACCAAAGCGATACTCTTAAATAATTGACTCCTGCATCTTGGAAAGCTATTTCAGAATTAAACAGGAAGAAACATACACGGAATTTAAAGAGTTTACAGCATGGCTGCCACAAAGATGTGTCTTTACCTTTGTATACGTGTTATATTATTGTCCTAGAAAATGTACAATTGCAACATTTACCGAAGATTGATACATAGCAATATGCAAAACCAGCGAGGAGCGACAGAGAAATTACACAGATGTTAATCAAATATATACTCCAGGGAAATAAGCAAAAAATAGACCATGTTCGTGACACTCAATAATCCAGGTCGCTGACAACTATTTTAGTTATTGTAGACCTATAGGAAGAAAACCTACTTGTTTCTTGCCTTGAATTTGGAGCTGTTTTTTAATTATTGACAATTTAATGCAAAAAACGCGATTGTTTCTATGATTATTGATACTAGTATTAAAAAAAATAGATTTTTGGAAGAAAATTGTTTTTGCACGAATTGTTTAAACAAACTAGACTATTTATTAATTAATTAATATATAAACATATTACTAATTTCTAATGAACGTATAAATTACATACAAATTAAAACAAGAATGATCAAAATCCATTGAGTAGATCCGGAGATATAGAAAATTTTATTAGTTTGAAATTGCTTGTTCGGTATGGATTTGTAGGTTCTTCCTAGTCACCATTTGAACTACTTTTTTGAAAATTCGTAGAGGGTCCTGCAAAGGTACAATGTTTGTGCAAATTTTTTAACAAAATATACAAATCCCATTCCTTAACACGGCATCAATGAGGTTCCTTAATTATTATAATTAAATTAGCTGTGAATTATCATCTTTTCTTTGACTTGATCTACTAGTTGTTGTAATTGGTCGTAAAATACTTCCCTTGTTGTTTGAGGCTTATTATTTTCTGGGCCGTATACTCCGATAATGTTCAGGTTTCCTTCTCCATTCTTATCTTTGATGTTACTATTCTTTCTGATATGTATTGACACTCTTTGATGTAATTTTAATACCTTTGGTGTATTAGTAAGGCTACACCTTCTTTGGAACTGTTTTCTTTTGCTACTCCACTGTAGATTAGTATGTATTCACCTAATTTTAAAATAAATATTTAATTTATTAAAATAATTAAATATTTAAGTATTAAATATAAAATATTTCTATTCATATAAAAATTTAATAAAATTATAGGTACTTACTGCTTATTTATATAAAATTTTCTATTTTAAATACAATAAACACACTGGTTTGTCAAAAGTCGGAATAAGCCCTAATAATGTTATTCAACTTTATTTATCCTCCTCCGAGGGTTTTACCCAATGACGTATAATATATAGACTACGCAGTCCCCTATTCTCCCTATAGAATCGAGTGTCCGAAAGATCTCGGCTCAAGGTTGAAGGTATGTTTATCAAAACAGTGGCGTGCTCATTTATATGTTAATGACAATAATTATTTTTTTAATTAAAATTAAATATTTATGATTTCTTTTTGTTCTCGTCTATAAGAGAAATAATTATTTTGATAAAATAGTATGGCATTTTACTAAAATAGTAAGTAAATAACTCTCAACAATTTAAAATAAAATTTGCTTGTCACACAAAATGGAGAAAATGTTTTCATACGTCCATGATGTTTTCAAACACAAGATCAACTTCGTGATGCTTCGTAAGAAATCATGAACTTCGTATCAAAACAATAAACAATAACAAAGGTATTCATGTTTTGGACACTTTTTAAAGCGTTCACCGAGTCTATATATTATACGTCATTGGTTTTACCTACCTGGCGAGAATCCAGAAGCTACCGACAAGGACAGCCTGTGCTGACGGAGAGTAAATTGCATTTAGCAGAAATTTGAAATTTCAAATTTCCCTATTTCAAAAAAAAAATTTACGTTTATTTTAACCAAAAATATTTGAAAAAAAAATATTGTTTAAACAGTTTATTAATTTACAACCAAATAGTGCACGAGAACTTTTTTAGACCTTCCATATAAAAAAAGAATCATCTCAATATCTGTCATACATTGGAACTTTTACATTGGAATTTACCTATGCCCAAAAAACAGAATAGTTAACCCTGCCAAAGCTTAACAATTGATGAAATACTTATTGCTTCGTTTGATGAGCTACTTGTGTGTTCTAGCTGCTAGGTCCTCCAATGGAATGTTGTAGTTCTGGAGAGCTGCAGTTACATTTGTCCAGTAGAAGTCCAATAAAGCCAACAACGTTGTCAATATTCCAATAAATCCAATAAATAAATGCCAAATAAAATTGTCATTAAATTATTATTCCCAATAAACTAAAACACAAAAGGAATAGGAGCATTAGAGACACATCAAGAGGAGTTTAACTTCCTTGCCATCTTACAAAGTTACAATTAAACAAATAGCGTATGGCAAGGATAAAATGAGATATGATTGTTAGTTAAATTCTGTTAAAGAGTCCTAATGCATATATAAAAAAACAATGTGCTTTCGAAAGAAAGTAAGGTTACAAATATCGGAAATGCGGTCAGAATTATAGAATAAATATCACAATGAAAGTACTTACCCCAAGAGAATTTGTAGACCATAAAATGAGTCTAATTATAATTTTTGTCTTTTTTATAAAGATCAAAGAGGCAAAAAATAATATTTCCACTACATTAGAACATTTAACTGACAGAAAGTGGGAGACTAAAATGAAGTTAGCACAGATGTCACAGGATGTTGCTATTTCATGAAACTAGCTTGTCTGTCAACACAGAACACAAAGAGAGAGGGCGAATATTTATTCTACGTAACAGAAAGAGAGAGTAAATAATGACAGAGGAAGAAATGAAAAGAGGGAAAAATAGAGGAATAGAGGGCGCCAACTACTTTTAAATAAAAATAGTAAAATTAAACGAAAGGTAAAGAAATTAATAAATTAATAAAGAAATTAAAATGAAATAATAATTTAAATATAAATTAATAGAGATGTGACGTTTATAACGTTACATCAGTCATAAATTATTACTTTTTTACCTGGGGCATATGTGGTGCATCATATGTGGTACATATGCTGCACCACATATGGTCCAGGCAGGTCAAAATTTAAAAATATTTTATACCAACTTAATACACGTTACCTGTTTAGTACATGGAATGAACATAATTGTGGAAGAAATTAGAAAAAAGTTTCTTTTTGTAGGAAAATTTTGTATCAAAATTCTGTTGTAGAAATCAAGCATAAAAAAGTACTCTTCAAATCCCTTAAAAGAATCCAACTATATAAAGAAATGCTTCCAAATATTTCACTTCCACCAGAACCCGTTTGAATATGGTTGGAGGCCGTTTTTTTTCTATTCAGACTATTTCGTATATTTAAAAAATATAATTCACCTTTTAACGATTGAAAGTTCTCAATCTCTTCTAAATGCTAAACAAATTTTTAAAAACATCAATAGCAAATTCATTGATTAAATTTTAGTTTGCTTCCAAAAACTATTACTCAATTAGAATCGTCAAAGTTGTCCTTGGTAGAAAGCATAGCCCTAACAAGAAAAATTAGACCAGCTTGTCAAAATGTTAAGGTGAAGCAGGAAAAAATATTTTTCAAAAATTTGAAACAATAATTAAAAAAGCAATGATTTTAAAAAAACTTACTGAGGTAGCTGACGTTTCTGTTGGTAATTTCTGCGAAGAAATAGATTTAGAACCAAATATTTTTGTGAATTTTAAATATGCTTCCATTACATTCCTTGATATGGAAAGAAGAAGTTTCTCAATTTACAAATATATGTACACAGATACAAGCCTTAAGTTTTAAGTTTAGAATTTTAAAAAGCATTTGGTCATTTATTGTTTCCATAATTCTAAGGAATAGTATGTTACTTTCTTACTACTTTCATTACAATTATGTAGTACATGGCAATTACCTACTTAGTTTTTAAATTTATTTATATTGTTTTCTTATTATTTTAATACGAAAATTAACATTTCGTCGCCTGAGAATTATACTGTTCTATATCCACTTTTTGGCAGTTTGGAGTTATATACATAGAAATTTTTGTAAAAATTAGCT